AAGTTGGAGACCAGGAAATCGCAGCTTCTAGCGCGTGTGAGGTGCCGGTTGAGGGTTTGGTTGTGACAGAAACAAACAAAGAGCATAGAAGAAAGCAGCATCGCAAGGACAACAAACGTCGCAAGTGGGAGGCCATGAAGAAGACCCGTCTTGTTGAGAAGGGGCAGAAGAAGCTTCCGCGTGGTGAGTTGTCTATGGTTGTGATGATGCGTGACATGGTTGAGTTCTACACCACGCAGGCCCAGGTCAATAAAGGCAAGATAGCAAAACGCTTTGAGGCACTGGCCGTCGAGGTGATGAAGGAGCTCGAGAGTTTTGAACAACCACAAGTGCAGACTGACCCAACCTGTTTGACTGCGAGCACTGTGAAGCAGCGTTCAAGACAGACTGGCCTCAAAGGCCGTGGCATGCTCATTGAGTTGTGCACCGAGCCGGACTCGAACCTAGGTGTTGTTGGTGAGAGGTTGAACATCAAGGTCACACGTTGTACCAAGGAGGTGAACAATTTAGAATATGAGAGTACCACGTCACACCTGAAGAACTTCATTCGTGAACATCCAGGTATTGATTTGTGGGCTAGCCTTCCTTGTGGCCCGTGGAGCCAATGGCAATACCTCAATGCACACCGCTATGGGGCAGAGTTCAGAAAGAAGTTGGCCAGGTCGAGAGACTTGTCGTTGAAGCTGCTTGATCGCTTTTGCGAGCTTGCTAAATGTGTTGTTGAGCATGGTGGAGATGTTCATTTTGAATGGCCCAGACATGCATTGGGTTGGAAGCAGGCTGCATTGTGCCAGCTCATTCGGGACATTGGCATGACAGTGGTGAACTTTGATGGTTGTGCGGTTGGACTTGTTGATCGGCAAGGCACGCCGTTCCTCAAGAAGTGGCGAGTGGCAACAACAAATGAGAACCTCGCAAAGAACCTGAACGAGTGTCGATGCAAGCATGATACTGATTTCAAACATGCACCCATCACAGGTTCCAATACTAGCACGACTGCAAAATACCCAGAGATCATGTGTGAGATCGTCTTCTCTTCTTTGTTTCCTGACCTTGTTTTCAAGGAGGTGCCCGCCATGCCCGTTTGTGAGGCAGCTGTTTGCGTGGTTGCACAGGAGCATGTCGAGAAGGAGCCAAAGGAACAGGTCTACCGTGGACCGTTGGTCATTGAAACCGTTGATACCTTTGCAACTCCCGCCGAGCTTGAAGATGACCTTGCTCCCGCGGATGACGAAGCTGAATTTGCAGAGTCGAGAGATGACAGGTTGAAGCGAGAGGCAAAGAGCCTAGACCACATCACGACCCACGCGAAGAAGAATCCTTTTTGTGAACATTGCGTGCGTGGTCGAATGTTGAAAAGATATGCCCACGGAGTTCGACCTGAGCCTAGTGATGAAGCGTACGAGCGCTCGGCTGCTTTTGGCCGTGTGCTCGAAGCCGACCACATGTTTCCGTCGGAAGAGAGCGTGAGCAACGCTGGGGAGAAGGTGGCTCTGGTGATCGTTGATCTCTTCTCCGGTCTGAGCATGGCCTATCCGGCCAGAGACAGGTCAGAAGAATCCTGTTACAACTCATTGAAACACTTCGGTGGCCATAGGTTGAACGGTGATACCGGTGTCATTTTTAAATCAGATGCAGCCGGTGAGTTGACCGGAGCGGCATCCAGGCTGTGCTGGACAATATCCCCGAGCATCCCCAGGGATTGGCCTCACGCGGCCCACGTCGAACGTGAGGTGAGGACCTTGAAAGAGTTGCGCAGACCAGCGCATCTCCAGGCCGGCTTCAGCAAGAAGATGTGGCCGATCTCCGTTGTTTACACTGCAAAAGCTCGTGCCTTTTGGTCGCCTTGTGTGATTCGCAAGCATGAGCGTGGGACGGAGATTGAGGAGCTCAAGACTGGCAAGACCCGTTGGGAGGTTTGCACAGGTGAGCCCTTTCTTGGAGTGAAGTACCCTCTTGGTGCACTTGTTTTCTACAGGGCCAAGAGCGATGGAATGGCCGCTCCAACTACAAGACCAGGCTTGTTTGCTGGATGGCGTGTTGACTCAGGCTTGCGATATCGCAATGTCGTGCAAGTTGTTGACTATGAAGCTGTCCGTGCAAGAGCGCATTTGCATTGGAGTCCCAAGGACTTGCATGAGAAGGAGGTGTTTTTCCCTCCTGTTGAGTACATTGAGTTTCCTTTGTCCAACGCGGCAATGAAGGCGTTGAAGGAAATGTCTGACCCTGATGTTGAGGTGAAGAAGAAGATCTATGACAGATCTATTGAGTCGGGCGTGCTCCCATATGACATTGATATTGATGCTTTTCCGGAAGATACCCCAGTTGCACCCCCACGTCACGCATACATTTCTTTTTCACGTTTGTTGGAGCATGGTTTTACGAAGGGTTGCCCTGGATGTGATGGTGGCCACTACCGCCACAACAAGGCATGTCGCGAGCGATTTGATGCCATCTTCCCTAGAGAAGCTGCAGCGCCGCCTACACCGGCGCCAGATGTCGGAGCACCGAAGACACCTGGACCGCTTCCAATGCCTAAGAGTTCAGAGAAAACTTCTTCTTCCTATTCCACAGGAGCAGTAGAAAGGGAACATTGGGTTGAGCCGGAGACCACTGAGGGTCCCGAGTACTCTCCTGATGAGCTTCCCGAAGGGTATGTCCCACCGGAAGACGTTGCGGCTGGGGTGTATGCCCTGGTGACGAGACAGCTCGCCCGGAACGAAGTGTTGTCCCGACCTGATGCACTGCAGGCGATCCGTAAGGAGTTCGATGGTGTTGGTTCCATGGGAACATGGGAGCTTGAGTCGGTTGCTTGCTATTTGCAGCGAAAAGCACGTTGAGTTGGCTCCAGAGCTTCGTGCTCTGAAAGGTCGCGTGTGCTATCGTGGTGATTCTGCAAAGACGGCTGAAGGAAAGCTAGCACTTTACCAGACGTTAGCTGCGTCTCCTGCGTCGATAGTTGCAGCCAATAGCGTGATCTCCTCTGGTCTTTTTGAGGGACACAAGTTGTCGTCGGCAGACGCCGTCAAGGCTTATCTCCAATCGGAGTTGAAAAGTTTGGCTGCCACATACATCCGTCTCCCAAGAGAGTTGTGGCCTGAGTCTTGGTTCACCCCAAGCGGCTACCCTCGCTTCAAAAGGCCAATCATTAGATTGCGCAAATCGCTATATGGACACCCAGAAGCTGGGGCCCATTGGCAACAGTTTCTTGAAGAACAGTTGTGTCTCTTAGGAGCAGTCAAGGTTGAAGAGTTTGCATCCACCTTCACCGTCCCCACCTTCGGAGGATTGGCATTGGTTGTCTACGTGGACGACTTGATTCTCTCAGGACCAAGTCAATGGCACGAGCCTTTCTGGAAGGCGTTGGGTGAAAAGGTGTTGATTGATGACATTGGACCGTTGGGTCGCTTTCTTGGTCGACACCACTCCACTGTCGAGGTTGACAACACAGAGTTCTTTGGCTTTGACATGCGTGCTTACGCCGAGGCTACTGTTCAAGAGTACTTGAGGGTTGCAAACAGCCCAAAGATGAAAGTAGTTGCATCACCGTTCCTCAGCAAGGGGTTCGTTGGAGCAGAAGAGCGTGGTGCTCTGGCATCTTCAGCCAGCAGCATTCTGACGAGACTGATGTGGTTGGCACGCCTTGCTCGTCCCGACCTGCTGAGAGTTGTGACTTGGTTGGCAACCATGGTACAGTCCTGGACGCAAGCTTGTGATGCGTACCTGTACCGTGCCATGTGCTACCTCGAGTGCACCAAGAACGCTATGTTACTTGGGCATGTGCGTGATGCGCCGGAGCATGTGTTTGTTGAACTTTTCGCAGACGCAGACTACTGCGGAGACGATGAACACACCCACAGTACCACTGGTGGATGGCTACAGTTGTCTGGCCCGCGGACATCGTTTCCTTTGGCATGGCTGTCGAAGAAACAGACGGCTACTTGTCGAAGCACGACGGAGGCGGAGACTGTCGCATTGTCGTATGTGCTGTTCGAAGAGGGTTTGCCATTGGTTGAGTTGTATTCCGCAATGCTTGGGCGTCCTGTGTTGTTGAGGCTTCGCGAAGACAACACTGCATGCGCGAAGGTCGTGACTGCTGGATACTCCAAGAAGTTGAGGCATCTCAAACGCGTACATCGCGTGAGTTTGGCTTCAGTGAAGGAACAGTTGGATCGCGATGACGTGGAACTGAGCCTTGTTGGAACAAGCGACCAGAAAGCCGATGCTTTCACAAAAGCAGTGGAGCCTGCACTATGGCCCAAAACCCTCCAAAACCTTGGAGCGCACCTCGATGGATACACCATCAAACACACCTCAGGCACTGGCCTGAAGCTGGACAAGCAGATGGCATTGCAGCCAGATACACCAGCGACAGACGTAGCGACAGGACCTCAGGGCACGACAGGCCCTACCCAGCCAGGGTACAAGAAACGGCAGAAACACAAGCCGAAGAGAATACCTCCGTACAGTGTGCCACAGAACCTTTCCGAACCAGCTGGATAGCCCGGGATTCAGAACTGATCCCAAGCCGTCGAGCAGCTCAGGAGTCAGAGGGGGGAGAAGAAATCCCTCAGCTAGAAACGTCCCCAAGAAGAACTGAGCTTTGAGTGAGGTTGCACACTTCATGTATAGATGACACGTCATGTATGGTTGATGTCTAGGAACACTTATCCAAGACTGGAATTGTCATGTAAAGACTTGCATCATCGGTAATCGGCTTTGCCGTTTGCACTGTGTCACTGGACGCCAACCTGATTTGGCTCAAGGACTTTGGAAAACAGACCGTGCCGCGACCGAAAGGATTCGATCGCGATTGTGTCGGCCTACTACGTATAGACCAAGGTTCTCGAACTTATCTACATACTGTATAATTACAACCATGAGCTCTATGACATATGCGGCGAGGTGTGCAGCAAGTTGCAGCAAGTGGCTTTTTGCACCACCTGAGACGGAGGGAGGTTGTGCGAGTCTACTGCAGTTCGCTTCGGCGACCCGCTCAGGTGTACTACGGGTCTCAGTTGGGATATGACGTGCTTGCTGCCCCAGAGACACACCGCTTCAATGGTTCACCGGGTTGCCCTGTTTGATTCAGAGCAAGACATTCAGAGCACGTGCAAACTACCAGGGTTAGCAGGGGGAAGGATAGTTTCTTCGTCTTAACAAAGGTCCTGGAGACTTCAGGTCCTGGGTCCTGGAGACTTTAGGTCCTGGGTCCTGGAGACTTCAGGTCCTGGGTCCTGGAGACTTCAAGTCCTGATCTGTCATAGCCAACGTTTTGCACGCAACGTGCGGGATTGGGGGATAGCAGGGGCCCTTCATTTTGCTGGACTTGAGCTTGAACGCAACGACCAAGCTGAATCCCCCCAAAACAGATTGCTGAAGAGAAAGTTGCGTTCCAAGCCTGGGGCGAGGATGCACAAGGAATGACAGAAGATATCAATAGATCGTTTGGTGAACAACATCCCTGTCTTGCGGACACGACACATATGTTCTATCCAGAAGTGCACCTGCAGAGGTGTGACGCAACCCACGCCTGTTCGAAACTCGCTGTCGTCGAGCTCACTGTAAGGAATACAAGACCAGTTCCGGCAGGTATCAAGACCCAGACGTTCCTTCTGTTGACTGGACTGACCGCAAAGTAGGTAATGCAGTGCCGAGGATATACATGTAGAACTCAACCCCCCCATGGACACAACCATGAACCGATGCCACCGTCAGAACTTCCCATGTGAGTTACAAGCAAACGTCTCAAATTGTCTCAAGACAGCGTGCATGCCAGGAGTTCCAAAAAGGATCCATAAAGGTATATGGTAATATATATGGCTTTAAGAGGCTTTTCAAGCATTTTCATCCGGGCTCGAGCGGTTTGTCTGCGCACCCGCCTCCCGTCTTCGCGAAGCAACCACCGGTGAGTCGAAGACGGGCCCGCTTTTCGTGCCCGAGGCCCTGGGCCACCGCATTTCCCTACAACATTGGCATCAGTGATCCACAGCATCTTGGGTGGAACTCGTTCCGCCTTCGGGGAAGGGAAGTTGGAGGACCAGTGGGCACTTAAGTATCTCCGTTTCGAGGGGACACCCTGAGCTGCCTAGCTGGTGAAAGAGTGACGGAGCTAGGCTGAGGGTTATCGAACGACCAGCGGAGCAATTTAGTTCTGGACAATGATCAAGTCTGGAAGTTGTTCGAGCTATGCCAAGCCTACAGTTTGTACTGTCTGGTCAGACTGGAGCAGGTCATTACAACTCTCAAACTTCGTGGTGTTCACAGCTCTGATAGTATGGACTATACACTGAAGACCGTTTTTCTAAACCAGTGGTTTGCCAGTTGCCAAGTCATCTGAATCCAACTAGGAGCCTGTATTGAACGCAGCCAATCGCGCAGCGTGTCAGGTCGTCTGCTTGCAGTGCGCGTCCTAGCCCGGTCAATCATGCTCCATCTGTGTTCATCCATGTCGGGTGAAGAAATGGCCACCCTTGAGGCAGATCAGACTGAGGGGAAGTCTGTCAAAGTCCTCAAGATGGAAGTGGCCCCGGTGCTTGGAGCCACTAGATTTCGACAGAGATGGTTCTGCGAAGATCGCGAGTTGCCAGACGAAGCTGTCGATATTCCGTCGATTGTCTGGCTTGTAATTGTGGGTTTTGGACCACTTGAGATGAGACAGCAGGAGAAGATATTATTGGCATGTAAGGAGAATGACTGGAAGGGAGTTGAAGCCTTGCTGCATCAGCCTTGCCATCCAGAGGCCAGAGATACAGAAGGGAGCACGGCATTACAACTTGCAGCAGAGAGAGGCCACTGGCAATGTGTGCGCTTGCTTCTTGAAGCTAACGCAGCCATTGACCAGCAAGACCCTTCTGGCATGATAGCTTTGCATTTGGCAGCCGTTGGCGGCCACAGCAAAGTTGTGCAGCTGTTGCTCGAGTATGGGGCAGACAAGGGCAAGGTTACAAACAATGGGTTTGCGGCTTTGCACATCGCAGCTGCACTAGGCCATCAAGAAGTTGTCAGGTTGTTGCTTGAGGATGGTGCGGATCAACACCAGACAATGACAGACGGGACAACAGCATTGCAACTAGCGGCTGTGAAATGCAATCATGAAATTGTGAGGTTGTTGCTTGAGAATGGTGTGGACCAAGACCAGGCGGATGAAGAGGGGATCACAGCTTTGCACTTGGCGTCTATCAAAGGCCATCCTGAAGTTGTGCAGGTGTTGCTGGAGAAGGGTGTGCACAAAGACAAGGCCACGCACTGTGGGAGAACTGCCTTGCACTTGGCAGCTGCGTGTGGCCATTCTGAAGTGGTGAGTCTGTTGCTCGTGGATGGTGTGGACCAAGACCAGGTGGGTAAAGATTGGAAGACAGCTTTGCACATGGCAGCTGCCCATGGGCATCCTGAAGTTGTGCAGGTCTTACTGGAGGAAGGAGCAAAATATATAGGTACACGCAGGGGGACGACCGCTACGCAGAATAGGTCAGCAGCATTGTATCTTGCAGCTACGAATGGCCACCGTCAAGTTGTGCGCTTGTTGCTTGATGATCTTTCGATCCTCACACACGTCCACGACATGGCTTTGTACTTGGCCATCCATCGGGGTCACTGGCAAGTGGTACAGCTCTTTTGGCCCCAGTTGATGAAGACAAAACAGCGACAGAAGGGGAAACAGCATCAGGTGTGGAAGCTTCAACTTTCGACTCGACGGTGGCCGTCTTGAAGCTTTCGACGGGACGGAAGTGGAAGCGGGACGGACCGTCCGGGCGAGGCGAACCAGAGGGAAGAGCGAGCGAAAGAGGCGAAGATGTAGCACACGACCCATCCATGATGTTAGGGAATGGTCTGGAAACAAAGCCATTTTGTCAGGAATTCTAGAGCCTTTTTGGAGCTGTGGGGTAATGCATTCTGCAGAAGCAGGGCCAGTCTTCTCCGCCCAGGGCCGTGCTTCAGTCACTGTCAGTCTTGGGACATCTTGGGACAAGAAACAGAAACAGGGGGCGGACATTGCGCGGTTTCTTTGATTGAACTATAAGAGTCTAGAGTAATGTTGATTTTCAGGACAGACATGAAGACCATCTTCATGGGTTTAAATCTGAGGACATCTGCCTCCAACCTCAAGCACATCCAAATTCAAGATAGCCTCCAACCTCAAGACCATCTTGAATTCTTTCCGACCCGAGAAGCCTTGACCAGAAGCGCCTTGATGGACGCCTTGTGAACGCTATGCTCGGTGGAGGCCATCGCTAGTAGGTTGGAGGCTATCGCTACGAACGTCACAAGAAGCTACGAACGTTACTTCTGGAGAAAAAGGAGGTGTTCAACGGTTCAACGTCGGTCTTTCTCAGCTCTCAGCCTTTCTCAGCCTGCCCCACAGTGCCTCATTTGGTCTTCTGCCTCAGGTATTGGGGCGTGATTTTTTCCGTGCCTCGGCTCCACCACGCGACCGTCCTACCGTCCTAACGTCCTAACGTCTCGGGGGCCGAGACGGAGACGAGTTCTACTTCACGCCGACCTCATCGGTTTTCCGCTGGGCCGGCGGAAAACCGGTGTCTCAGCCGGCATGTCTAGGGCTAGGGAAAGCAGTTTTGGAGGGTTGGTGTGTCCGTTTTCTGACCGTGTTCGCAGTTGGGAAGTGTGAGTAGAATCGGTGAGTGTTCTGCAGTCATTCAAGAGCTTTGGACATGGGTGGGGTGGTTTACATGGCTTCGCAACCCCAGATCATCAGACCCCCATTGATCCTCCTTGGTGCCGCCGAACAGGTGTGGGGTTTCTACCTTTGCTTGGCGCCATCGAGTGATCTCACGGGGGAGCACTTCCTCATCCCGTGGCTGGAGACCTTTTGGTACGTCGGACAACCCAGAGTATAGGGTTCTTCCGTGGAGTTGACCAGGAACAACTTGAAAAACACTGAACTGAACGCATCTAGGTCTAAACGGTTATAGACTTTTTTCGATGCACAATTGTTTGAGACCTCTGAGATTCAGTTGATGATGTGCCTTTTTACTCTTACCATCTCTTACCTTCACTCACCATGGCAGAAATCAGACCGCTTGCTTTGTATATGGATAGTATTGGTCAGTAGATCGGATCAATGTGCTAGCAGTCTCAGTGGTTTTAAAGAAGCAACTCAATCTAGGTGGCCTGCCTGTCCGTCATGCCAGCTTCTTTGGCCAATCGCAGACAGACGATGGGGACGAAGGGTCGCAACTCAGTTGAAGCTTTCTTTCAGGCTACGCTCCAAGTATGGCTCAAATCCCCAAGCGCCAACGTCAACCATGCCCAAGCAGCCACAGTTTTCAAGCACAAGCTCCAAGCCACCAACTGAAGAAAGAACCTGCGCAATCGCCATTGAAACGCAAATCTTCCGCGCCGTCCGCTCGCAGATTACCTCGATGAAGCTCCTGGAACATGAGGCACAGAGAGATTGTGGAGACATGCAGGTGGAACAGCTCTTTTCCAGCTTTAAAAGAATGGTGAATTAGAGAATTTCATAAATATTTCATATCTGGGGGGTATGTGTGATGTTGTTTGGAACCCCCGGGGTTCTAAGTTTATGACCAACATTTAAAGGTCTTCTAAATTGCTGGTTTCTTTGTCTGTGCTGGCTTCTTTGCTACTTGGTCAGACTCTCAGAAGCACCCCCGTTGACAGGAGATATTGTTACAGCCCTGCCAGCAGAGCAAGATGACCACCGAACCTAAAGCTTCATCAATTTTCTGAACTACAGTAGTGCGGCAGCAGGAGGCTCTCAGCAGAGTCTGAACTCTCAACAGCGCTAACTGACTGCTGATGGAGTTGAACGAACAACCATTCTTATACTCAGGACTTTAGAGTGGTCAAATCCACACTTGAGCCATTCTCGGAAGGCTCTCAGTTCTAATGGATCTCCAAAGGTTATAGGGCCCACTTATTTTTTTGTTTGCAACCAAGTTCTATATTAAACCCACTTCATGCAGAATTCACCCAAAAAAGGTCTGAGAGACTCTTGTGAGGTAACAGCCTCGGTCATTCTTTTGCTGTCTTGCACCGATCGACGCTCGCTCCAGGGCTATGGCGGCGGGCTGTTGCGAGCGCTCGGCTTCAAGGCGCGGAGGGCACTGCCCGGGCAGAGGACTGAGACATTGGACTTTCTGTCGATTTGGTGCAGGTGGTGACCAGGTGGTGACCAGGTGGTGACCAGGTGGTGTAGGTGCCTTTTTTGGAACTTGCAAAAACGAAGCAAATGAATGATCTACTTGTGTCTCTGTGGTAGGTTCGATGTAGGTAGCATATTCGTCGAACTCTCAGTGTCGTGTATTTATTCAGCGTCATGTAGCTAAAGCCATTTTTTTGGGGTTAGCGGGTTTGAGATGGAGTATGTACTAAACTCGTTCCCGCAGTGAGTCACTGACACCACAAGGAGTTCTGAGACCTTCAGCCGAAACACCGTGCGCCGACCGCCCCAGGCCCCAAAGAAGCCCTGACACCCAATTTTCGGCCTGACTTCGGAGACCTTTGGAGAAGTCGAGAAAAAGACAGCGAGAGAGAGAGAGAGAGGCCGCTGTGGTCGGGAGTGAAACCTCACATGGTTTCACTGTTGGGGTCTGGTCTGGTCGAGGTGGGGTTTCGCCCGTCCGGGGCCCCGACCGGTGGGCAGGTCGTAGGTCGTAGATCTGCTTCTTCCCGTCCGACGGTTTGGTGTCCCGATTCTTAGAATCGGTGGATTGGCAAGACATTGTAAAGACGGTTTGATGAACAACATTCAATAACTACATATTAACCTCCTTTTTTTTGGAGAGTTTTTACAAAGTATATAATGGGGGGAACTTTTTTCAACAGCAGTCTACATTAAGCTTATTTTTGAAGCTCGAGAGATTGGTTGCTGAAACAAATGAAGGCAAGACGATACAGGATCGTGAAATTTCACCCCAGGACTTCGTGTGTGAGGCTTATTGACAAGTCCACAGGGGGTTTACAATATACTGTATATATAACATAAATGTGTTTTTTTTGCAATCAATCATGGGTCTTTGGAAATCAATTCTGGGGCTCAACTTTGGACGCGCTGTGGAGAACACATGCTCCAACCAACAAAGATTTTATTTGATGTAAAATGTCAAAGCCAGGATTGCAAAAGCATCATTCTATTGGCCTTTTACCAGGCAACCGTCAATCATTAAAAACATGTTGACCAGTTTAGGTTTCAGACGTCCTTCGCCTCTAGCTTCGTGGATCTGCCTGCCAAGACGGCGCAAACGTGCGTGGTACACTGCCACTTGGTAGATCAGTGCGTCTGAAGCCGCTGGCCAAGAACCATGAGCGTTTGCCGGACGAAAAACAGAACCACAAACTCCTTCCAAGTGCTGGGAAACAACCTGAAAAGCATATATATATATATTTGTTTGTCTTTTTTAATGCAATATAGATTGCTGGGAATGTTGGGTACAATATAATATGGTCTGCTACAATATTGTTCAATGAAGACAGTTCTCAGGCACGGTGTTGACAGAGTTGAATTTTGGAAATAGGATACGTATTTCCAAAATTCGGGATTTCCTACGCCTGAGAAGTTAACCGTTAACCCACAAAAAATCAATCCGATAACGCTGCGGAAGAGCATGGGCTGCGTCTAGACACTAAGAATAGGCACGGGAGCCAATGCGGGGGTAAATGGGTCCTGACAGCATTAACTGCCTCTAGACAACTACAAAAATGCTGCTTGGCCTGGTGCCAAGCTGGCATTCTTTGGGAAGATCAGTTCAAGCTTGGGAGAGAATGCGGGGTCAGTTGTTTTGAAGCCCTGTGTCTGCAGTCTTATGGCGCAGCGGTTCTGTCAGGCAAAAATCAAACTCCGTATGGGACAAACTGCTGAATGGCCAACCCCAAATCAAATTCCAATGTTCCACATTTGGCTGCAACAGTTACATAATATATTGGTATATATTCATCGTATGCTTGTGATTCTATTCTTATTGTATACGCTTCACAGCCAGTACTGTAGATGCTAGTAGTAGTCCCTCCACACACTAGGCCTCCAGCACAGCACGCCACCACTACCAGTGGCCACAACTTGCAGCCTTTTCGGCTTTCGCTGCTCGTTTCCCCACCGACGACGGATGGTTGCTAAGCACGACAGCCTTGAGAGACCCCAGAGACGAAGTCGGGAAGAGACACATTTGTTGGGAAGAGAAACATTTGTTGTTTGGTTGGTGATGTATACAGCTGATGTTGATGGACACAAAACATTTGATCCACGTGATCTCCAGTCACTAAGAGATCTAAGAGCAGAACGAGTCTGAAACAGCGGAACGCCGCCACCAGTGGAAAAAAACGACTCAAGAAACTCTTGCAGCCATCGTTGGGCTTCGGCTTCGGCTTCGCGGTGACGGATGGATGCGGCCGATCATGAGAGGCCCCGCGGTGTGGTGTCTCTGTGCGGTCGGCGGCCGAAGACGTCTACGGGTCAAGTCCCAGTTGAGCCGTGGAATGGCGACTCGACATGTTGGAATCGAAACTTCTGGCGAAGCTTCGTACTTCTCAATGGTCCAATAGAATTGGCCGACATTTGTGTAGCTTACCATGCACTCCTATCCAGGTCTTTCATCCGTTTGCTTGCCGCCGGGCTCCATACTTTTGGTTCACCTTGCCGCAGGCTGCAGCTGGTTTACGACAACCTTTTGGGCTTGGCCTCGGCTGGTGTGGCGTGCAGCTGAGTGGAGCAAATCCGACCCCTGACTCCCGGACCACCGGACACGTGGCCCAAACCTTATATAGATACACGCTTCTAGTATCTTCTAGTACTCTTGAGTGGATGGGTACTCTAGCCCCCCCCCCTTTTGCTCAGGTGCAAAGACGGTAAATAACACGTTCTTGGCTGCTTGCCAGGCGGCATGGGTTACATTGAAATTCGCACCCAATCCCTAGGTCTTTTGGGTTGGGTCCTTCGCGTTTTGCTGGTCGAGGTTGGTGGTTTTTGATGGTTTGGCCCTCCGCAATGAAGCACTGGTAATGGGCACACTCATGTGGATCTCTCATCATGTGCTTGCCGGAGTGAAGCTCAGAGGCTCCCAAAAGTTTGTCTGGTCGGGGATATCTGTGCCGATGCCACAGTACCCCTCTGTGGGGGCTTCAGCCCATGTCGTCGAAGTGGACAAAAGTAGTAGGCCGCAATCCTTCGGATGAAACAGCAGGTGCAAAAATCGGTGCTCTAGAAGATGATGAATTCGTAGAAGATGCAGCATGCAAAACATTCGGGATGGTGGTTTTCGATCTGAGTCTGGTACGGACAGACTCGCTGGCATCGACACTGCTTGCATGTGAAAAGGACAGTGTGTGGTCCTTTGTCAAAGGTTCAAACACATTACTGTACGAATCTGTACGAGCTCGTTGAAATGCAGTGCGAAAGTCATCTTTGTACATACGGTAACTAATCCACTTGGGTGGTGTAGAAGCACGGGCATGAGCTTTAGTGCATTTTCTCTGTCGTTTGATATTATAGCGATTGTCCCATGCGAATATAGTAAAACAAGCAAGGCATTGGATTTTGCCATCTTTACTGGAAAGGCCAAAATTCCACGCGAGATCATGCTCACTTTCGATCTGACAAAATGTGGCAAACAGGTCAAGATAATGGTTCGGATTATTCTTTAAACCAGGGCTTTGCGTCCAAAAATCTTTATGAAGGTGGGACTGGGCGCAAGGCTGCTTACTGATCTTTAAACGTCGGTGTTTGGGTTCTGCAGTATTCTTTCCACACTTGAGACACATGACTCCACCGGCTGGGATGGAAGTAATGTGATGTCCGTTTTCGAGAACTGCACTAGAATCAGTATGTGGATCATCTGGTTCGGGTTGTGTATGTCTACTTGGAGCAGGTGAGATCTCGGGAGGGGGTGAAAAAGAATCCCCCCTCAGATATTGAGAAATCTGCGCACGCCAAATAGAGACTAATACACTCTGAATGGTCGATAGATGTGGTTTCAATTCCTCGTCTCTAGAAGTCAAAACAGTGGCAAAAAGGAAACGAGGAGTTGCCTGAATAATGCGGTGGAATAAGTGCATGATCGGTTGGCGAAGGTCTTGATAATGTGCACAGAACCAAGAAATATGTCTGACGTCATTTTCACCACCTACAGCTCAGAGGCTTCCAAAAGAAAGGAATTCAGATGGTTGGCCCTTAAAAACGTAAAACATGTTTAACTCGTGGACCATTAAACATGAATGCTGCTTGGAAGCCTTAGGTACACTCAGTGGTTCCTTCCATCTCGGCCGAGGTCACAGTGATGCCCTCCTCTGAGGAGCTCTCAGAAGGCCTGGCCCACCTGGGTCGAGGCTCCCAGTGGGGCTTGGCAGGGCGGAGTTCTTTAACAATTAATGTTCAAGCAGTTTTAGAATGGTTTTAAACTTCAAAATAATGGCTGAAACACTTTTCGAACAATTGTTAACATTTCAACACAATTGTCGAAACAATGTTCAATCTTAAAAAACAATGTTTGGAACCGTACCGTGCTTGCTGGAAGTGTAGGGGTTTTAAAGCAATTTCAATTTAGAGACACAAGACATATATATATATATAATATAATATAATACAATATAATATAATATAATACAATATAATATATCATATTATATATTTTTGTGTATCATGTTTGGATCCCATTGCATTATAAGGTGTTTGTTATTTGATCAACTGGAGAAGTGAGTCAGTATTGTTGGGGTTGCTCTTAAAACGCCACTTAAATTAAAACGCCATTTGCAGATAGGCTTCACATGATTGGCCAATGGAGCCATTTCTGCACGAGGCAGACTGCAGCTGGTATACAAATATAACATCACGACTACCCCAGGCAGCAAGCAACTTGCAAAAAGAACTGAGCTACCTATTGATACATGTGCAAATGCCCTTGATTCCTTGATTCTCCCCAAGTACGGTGCTCCAACATGGCCGTGTTGCAGTGGTCACCACTGGATCCTCCCTGTTGGCCAAAACTTGTTTTCTTTTTCAGTCAGTCTGCCATGGGGGATCTTTCTCCAGCAGAGGAGCGGCGGCAGGTGCTGCTTTATGCGGCAGGCTCTGGGCGCGCCGATATCATCTCCATGGCCATTGAGCAGGAGACGGCCGAGGGTGGCGACGTGGCCTCCTTGTTGACCTCCCAGGATGAGATGCCTGGCATACGCAGCATGTTGTTCTCTTCCTTTTCCCGACCATCAGGGGAGAATATCTCCAATGTTTCAGGGAATCCACTGGACGTATTTTTCGCTGAAGACCGGACCTGAAAAGAGTCTGTCGAGGTGCCATTCTCAGGGTCCATGTGTATGGAAGATGCCTGGTTTTTCAGGTTCCTTCAACTAAATCCAAGGAAGAAGGGCACAGCCCTACACGAGGCATGCCGCAACGGTCACCTTGACGTGGTTCGACTGCTGTTGCTGCGTGGAGCCCCTGCTGATGCTCGCGACGGCCATGGTCAATCACCCTTCCAGGTGGCGGCAGAGTGTCCGGAGAAGTTCGAGAAGCTTCGCGGTGCTTTTGAAGCTGAACTGTTCAAACGATGCGCCACAGGGGACACCGCTGGGGCAGAAGCGCTGGCCAAGGGTGGCATGGACCTCAAGTGTACCCAGGCTGGCTACAGCCCATGGGCCTGGGCCAGACTATTTGATGCAACAGATACGGCCGACCGGATGGAGGCCATTGCCAGTGGAGCGGTTGCAGCGGTGGACTTGGACGGTGAGGGGGATGGCGATGATGGCGATGTGTCCAGACCAGGTGAGGGACAAAGTCCCGAAAATGAAGAGGGAGTCACCTCGATCTGTGATGAGCTTTGCGCACTCGATCTGCTTCTATGGCCACCAGTGAGTGCATTTAGTTTTGATGCAGAAGTGTTTCTGAGCCTAGGAGAGTCTTTGCAGGTTGAGGTTCACATGCCGCCCTTAGATGTTCCATCTGCATCTATGCTGTTTGAGAAGCTGCAGTGCTGCCTACAAGCAGTGGCACCCGTGGGTGAGTTTCTACCAACAGCTCCTGCTTTGGTGCCGGTGCTGTCCTCTGATTCCTCCGAAGCTGCTGCATTGGCTGGCTCGACCACCGTGACGCTTTATTTAGATCAGTCCACGGACGGGTTCCAGGTGAAGCTGGCCGGTGAAGCTCCAGGGACCGTTCAATTGGTGGGTGGATCGATTTGGGCCTTGTCGCAGGTGGGATCGATGAGAGGGTGATGAAGAACGGAACTCAAGTTACTTTCAAAAAGGTTCATTCCAAGACCATCCATGCCATTGTCCATGTGTCAAATAGCTTTCCCCAGCCTTTTCCCTGTCAACAGACCCTGAAAACGAACGGTGTCCAGCCGCGGCCTTTAGGCCATCGAGAAGCTACGGCAGCTGCTGTTGCTCCACCGCCGTCCCAGCTTGGATTCCGCGCGGCTCCCAGCCCTCTGCCTCCACGGGAAGACCAACCCCACGCCGTCAGCAGCCTGGTGTTGCTGAAGGGAATGTTTATGTTTAATATTTTCCTATATATGCTTAATGGTTAAAGTCGCTTCTGGTTCATATGTTCTATTTTTGCCAGGTTCCTTACTAATCAAATCCAAGGCAGAGTCTGCGGTGTTGATGGACCTGTGGGATTTGAGCTCAGAAGAGCAGTTGCAGGCGCTTCAACAGATGGCTCGCTGGCAAATCCGGCAATTCTGGGTGCCTGTGCCGCACGCGAACTTCAGCTACCGCTGGTTGCAGGATGTCTTCGAAGCACGGAGAATTTGCAGCCACATCGGAGCCGAGTTGGTGCCCGTCATCGACGAGAAGTCAGACACAGTGGCACTCGCCCAGTTTCAAGGCGCGAACAATGTAGGCTGGCGCCTTCAGCCCAATTCCAGCGCTGAGTGCCATGAGGTATGGCCCACCTTAAGAAGTGCCGGTCACACCAATGTGCGGCTCACGGTAATGGTGGCCTTGGACAAGCGCAAGGCTTTGCAACAAGTGAATCAGCTGTGCAAAGACCTCGCACGGCAGTCCTCCAGGATCGGGCTCTTGTTGGAGTGCGAGTTGCATGACCTGAAGCTTTTTCCAATGGATCAAGCTCTGAAGATTGGCTTCGCTCATGGAACCGCCCTCGGTGTCCTCTTCCGTGAACGACGAGGTGGTCAACTTGGTCGTCTTCCGCCTCACGTGTGGCACCCGCCAACCGCCACGGCGTCGCAGTGGGCAGCGACGTTGTGGGAGAAGACCCGCTCCATCTCGGAGGTCTTCCCAAGCTTTTCCAAATGCCTCGTCTTGGAAGTCCCTGTGTTCGGAGCTCCTTGGGCAGGTCGTGGCACTGCTTGGCGACCATCCTGGTGCTTACTCAGCAGCTTTCTGGCAGCAGGCATGCATTGCAGTTCTGAGGTTGAAGCCACGAGGCTACCACAGCTACTCCAAGGGCAATTCTTTGGAGATTCTTCAGGCTCCCTGGCTTGGGAGCTTTGGAATGCTTCTGCATCCCTTGATGAAGACTTCTTGACGAGTTTGTTCTCACTCCTCGCTGGCGAGATGCCCCGCTTGGATGACGAAGGCATCAGCAGCGCCAATGCATGGTATGCTCATCTGACCGAGCGCCGTCTCCGGCTACGACGCTTCCGGTCGGAGGGAGAAGCTCCGCTTCCAGCTCGTGTGCCTGGTCGGGCGGAGTCGTTTGAGGGAAGTCGCACTCCGTGTTTATCGGCTGGCATGCTCGCTTCATCGTTGGTCGGCATCGAGTGGCTACGGTTTGCCTGTCGTGTTTATCTTCTACTTGCAAAGCACTCACGGCGGTCATCTCCAGACTTGCACAGTTCACTGCAAGCCTTGCCACCCGCCAAGCAGAGTGATGTGCGCAATGGTTTCTTGGCTTTGCTCCATCGGACGATCCATGGAGTCGTAGATCTACCAGAGAATGGCTGGTGGGAGGAAAGTGAAGCTATGGAGGCTGAGGCGTCCCAGGCAGAGGCACTCTGGGCTGGAGGATTGCGCTTGGGTGCTGCTTTGGATCTTCATCCCTGGCAGGAATTGGAAAAGAAACGGACCGGAAAGGCCCGTATGGACCTTCACGCAGGTGTTTCTTCTAACCCAGTGAGCACAATTGATGCATATGATAGCGTGTGTATTTTTACTGACATACATAGATTGACTACTTCTGGCGGCCGCTCAGATTCTGTGCAAAGTCCAACAGTTCCGTGACCAAGGTCTACGACTGAAGGATGATCAGGAGTTGTCTGCGTGTCTTTGGGTCCTCGAGGCCGCCTTAGGCGGGACATCAAGTCTTGTCTCGAGGAAGCGGAGACTGAGACGCGTGTCATTAGGTTCGGTCAAGGAGAGACGACATTTGGTCACTTGGATCGTGGGGACCATGTTTCGGATCAGCACGACGTCTGATCTTGGTCTGGATTTGTTTGTAACGAATAAGACCGTAAGACCCCTTTTCAGCACGACGTCGCCCCAAAACCCTCCGTCGTTTCACAGGCGGAAACCTCGTCCTTACCTGTTTCAGCCAGCAGATCAAATCTGTGCTTTCCTCCCCAGTCTGCCAGGCGAAGATGGACGAAACTGCCCAAGTTTCCAGGAGTTCCTCGCAATGGCAGTCTGGGCCACCTAAACGGAGCAAGCACGAACCCGCCGGGCCACGGGTCCGATGGGTTTGGTCATGCCATTGTCCGACCGCGACCGCGACCTTGTGTGTTACCTTGAGGGGGAGCATAGGTCGCAGCCTTGGAGAACTTGTGAATACTTTGTGGTCGCTGGTTGATGTTGTTCAGCTATTCATGGATTCTTTTTATCGCAGCATAGGGGGTAGTTTTGGTGTCTTGATCCGAATGCACTTCAGCAGAACCATGAACCACGCCCAGAGGGAATCAACCTTAAGGACATGAAATGTTGGGTAGTCTTTACATACTAGAATCGAACATACAAACATGATTTGTTGATGGATGTAGACCAGTGCTTGCATTCGACGATCATGGGACATCATGGGAAATACCTGGAAAACTGCGACGTCAGATGGGCATAGCTTTTCAACTGCGTACAGTATTACATGGCTGTGGGTCATGGCACCAGGATACCTTGTTTGACCTACCTGGAGGGTCGTTCGCTACATGGTGGACTGGTCGGGCTCCAGGTTTTAATCCATCTCGGAGCTACAACAAGCATGATATGATGACATGATGCTAGCTGGGTCTCGGTGTACAAACCACCGCGCAGCTCGCTCGGCTTACCACTACAGTATCCCTTAGCAAAACAAACGGTTAGAGAGTTAGAGCCCTGAATAGCGGCGCCAGGGGCTTTGACGGTCTTCCAGCGATCCGGCGATCGATGTGGTTGTCAGCGGTATTGTAACGCTTTTGTTCAGGCTTGCCCTAGTGACCGTTTTGCCTGCAGCGTGACAACTGGTAGACACAGGTTTTTGGACGTGGTTGTATACATCAGTGCTTTTGCACACCTCTTCACCCAAGTCTGTATCCAACACGCTGTTTCATTTGAAGATGGAAGGTGTCATGTGCTGCAATGATTTGCTCCGATGCCGCCTTCCGCCAAGGACATCAGTGTGAGTGATGTGACTCCACCATCATCGGTCAGGGGCCCCCAGCCGCAGAGTGGGGTAGAGGTACTGCGATCTGCGAGACCCGATCTGCAGTCGGGTGCGGCAAAGAACCGGATCATTTCATCAATCCGGACAATCGATATTCTTTGGCCGCGGCGAAGGGTCTTTGTGCGGCGTCCCTTTCCCGGAAGAACCAAGCCTTGTGGAAGCTAGCTTACCGTGCTCAAACTGGTGGACCCGCCAAAAAAGGCGAATCACCGGTTCCGTTCGGATCGCGAATCGACCATGTTCCACCCGCTGCCGGTGCGGTGCGGTTTCTGGTTGTCGAGCGCAGTTGAGCCGATGCCATGCGTGGCATAAGCACTTCGTTGTTTTCATGAGTGGCCTGGGCCTGCCTGGCCCTTGTGTGCTTGGCCATATCAACTCGAAAATGCCAAGGGTGCCCAAGGGAGATCTGAAAAAAGGGGCTGGGAAGCCGGGTGAGCCCTTATCAGAATCACAGTTACTGGTACTCATATAATCTATATATATGTTTTACAGGTTTCGCAGATGTTTGACCCGGAGCCAGATGCTTCATGATGCCGCTCCACCCCCACCAACCCTGCCAAAAACCTGCAGTTGATGATGTTGATCTACGCCTCCCACCCTCCATCCGTGCCCCAGGCGCCCTCCTTTGGCTCGGCCTCCTCCTACGGCCGTTCCGCAGCCCCCGAAATTCCGCAGCTGAGACTGCAACTGCAAGGCGGGCGGGCGGCGGCGGCGGCGCGGGTCTGGAGATCCAGTGGATCCAATGAATACGACTTTGCTCGGTGGGTGGCTGATGTTCTTCCACATTTGGGAGCGATCGAGATCGCGAAGACGCTCAAAACTCATTTTCCTACCTCTCCTCCCAAACGCGTTGCCCCGCTGCCCCACGACGGGTTGATAGCCGTTGGTGCTGGGATGGTCAAGTACTGGTGCGATGTGCCCGTTCCTTGCATTTGATTTGGGGGGGTGTATTTAAAGAGGTAAACGGAACATAGACCAAAACCCATTGCTTGGGTGTCCTCCCTATATATAATATATCACTACATATTACAGGTAATTATATAATTATATATTATATCACTATACTATACAGTGTGTATGTATATATATATATATATATCACCAATTATATTGGGTTTGTCCCATTACCTGTAACAGGCGGCAAACAAGAACATCACTATCTTAGAGAATGGCCTGCAACCTAACCATCATCATCCACGCTTCAGCCTGGCAATGGGTATGATAGACCCAATCCCTATTTTGCAAAACACAGGGACCAGTGACAGTGGATGATGGACCCAATCCCTATGGTCACTGTTACCCAATCCCGATCCATTGGACCTGCACAGTGACCAGTCTTTGCGAACAAGTGGTTGCAAAGACGTAACGATGCGCATGGTCCCCCAGTTGGGGAGATAGGGATTACAGAAGCTGACCCCCACGTTGCCTGAGATCAAAGTATTCCGCTTCATTCCGCTTCTACATATGATGCGCAGTGAACACGTGGAAATGCAGTGAAAGACTGGGGACTCACGTCCATTTGCAGCAGGACTGCTTTCGCCTGGCGCTCCTTCCCCGACTGCTAAGAGCTTCTTCTCCTCGGAAGAGGAGGGGGATCCGGACTGATCTGAATTTTGTGCCTGAGTCTCTTAGTGGGGTTCCCAACCATAGTAGACCCTTTCAAGACAAAATGCCGTTATAACATGTTACACCGGCATTTTTCACTGAAACATGCCTGAGGCAAACATAGGCCATTTGAAGATCTGGTGAACTCTTGCACCCTGGTTTTTGATGCCAGAAAGCTTTCCGAAGTAGGTTTCCCAGGTCCTGAGTCGTAAATACGTAGTCCGTAGTATAGTATGCTCCTTCGAGAGTCCAAACGTGACCCGAGCGAATTGGAAGTATTCGGTCTCGACCATGGCTGACGGCTTAGACCGAGCTCACGCCCTGAATTGTGGCCTTGTTCTGCCAGGCGATCTTTCTGTTTGTTTGCCTTTAATGACCTAATGTTCCATTTTGCACTTGTAAAGCGGACTTCAAAGACATTGACTTTCGGAGTTACAACTCCAACAAAAACCATCTGTTTTCGGGTTTTCCGCAGTCCATCCGAGGAGTCCGCAGCAGCTTCAGAGAAGTCCCCGGTAGTACAGATGTCGCCGCTGGCCGGACGGGCGCACAAAAGGGCCAGTGTATGGGAATCAAGGCATGCTGGAACATTTTGAATACTCAAGTCATATGATTCAATGATTCCTACCATTACCAAAGGTTCATCCAGCGGGCCCATCTTCAAAACGATGCCACAGTTTGAACGGTGGATTATTATGTTTAGAAGGCTTGGAAGCTTGGAAGGCTTGAACGCTGGAAGTCATCTCGCTCTGAACCTTGCATCCCGAGCAACTTGGTGATGACCAGGTTTGGGAGGGAACCTTTAAGAGAGCGATGTCAAGGGTTGTAACTCCTTAGCCATGCTTTGGATAAATGAAAGACACTTATATATACTTGATTGGGATAGGGTAACAGATCAAACACCGGCAAGAAGCTGTAATGTTATATCTTCTAAACTTCCAAGCGGAGGGTGTGTACCCCAACAAAAACGACGCACTTGCAGCACATGTCCTTCTTCACCTCAAGCAACAGCGTTGCTCTGCAACGTCGAGAGCCTGTGCCTCTGCCGTGCCAGGGTGGCTCGGAGCAAAGCCAACTCCGCGTTTCAAGGGGCTTTCTCGATTCTGAGTCCGACGTGTCCCTTCTGATGCTCAGCATTGAGCAGAGCCTCCTGTCAGAGCCTCGGACGGTGTGTTTTTGGTGGGCCAGATGGGTCGGATGGGTTTCGAGGACAGGCTTTGATTCCGAGTTTTTGCAGTAACATGAATTGATTGTGCCCTTTGCATTCTGCAACTTGCATTCTGTTCAAGGACTGCAGTTGTTCAAGCTTGAATTAGATGTGCTCAGACATGCTTAAACATAGGTGTCTCATGTTGTCTCATGAAACCGTGAAACTTGTTAGCGTAATGCCTGTTTCTCTAATCAAACACACAACCAATCAGTTCGTTTGCCAACCATGTTCGTGTCGTGAAGCACGGCTGAAGCTTTTCTGATCGAGCATCCCTTGGCCAACCAAAAAAAGACACTCCTTTGATGTTGATTCCTTGGCCTCTCCGATCTATACATCCTCAGTGCCTATGATTTCTCACACCAACCTGCACGCTGAAACTGCTCGCTCTCGCTGCCATGGGGAGATCGTTGCGGAAGAAGCGAAATGCAAAGAAGGTCACCACCAAGGTGAAGGAAAAGAAGGTGCAGAAGAAGCACTTCAATGTGAAGCAGATCCAGGCAGGAGGGCAGGGCGCTTTCACATTGAGCACTTTTCAGAGGGTTGGTGCACTTTGGAGAAGCGCCTTCACGCGGGCTTTTGCACAGGTGGTAGTGACTTTCCTTCAAGACACAGCATTGATAGTTACAGTTGATGATACTTAGTTTATATACTTGTTTCACGTCGCTTTCAGTTTGCAGAATCCTCGGGAGTTTGTGCCGCTTTCCAGAGCGACCATTTGAGTAAAGGCTGTTGGACAACAGGACAAGATGCATACCTCAGCACCACCCAATTCGGGTGGTTTACTTCAGGATAGACCCCCCTGACGACTTATTTCATGAACCGCACTGGCCAATTCCTCGTCACACTTCTTCGCAAGCTCAGACTTTCCACTGGGTCTAAGTCTTTCCCTGGACCCAGTGGACAGTCGGAACCCATCTGGGGTGGAACCGATCCACCGATCCGGGCCCTGCAAAAACCTGTCCGATTCTTGCGCGTATTGGCTCGTGTTTGTTTCACCGGTGACCCGATCGTCGCGAATCGTCGCTTCGAGACTGCTCGGTCTGGCCCTTCGACCGCTCGGTCGCAGCAGGTGCCGTGTTTTTCGCCGAAGCCCAACGGTGTTTTTCTACGGAGCCAACGGTGCGTTTTCCGGAGGGTTTTGTTGTTTCTGTGATGAAGAGGACGACGCGGGGTTTGCTGAGGATCCCGAGCTCCGGAAGCGCTTCGACAAGGGGAAGACCTTGAAGGAAAACATGGAGCAGACGAACCTCAAAGAGATGTACAAGGAGAGGATTGAGGATTGTATAGTAGTTATATAATTAATAGTAGTTAGTAGTAGTATAGGATTGTAATATTGTTTGGGGAGTTGTTTTTAGTTGTATGATTTCATTCTTAGTAGTGGAAGAACGAGCGGTGTCAGCGAGCGGAAGCGGAAGATTGGAAGCGGGTTTTATTGGCTTTTCAGCTGTGGCTGGAACTGTCCGCTCGGGTGGGTTGTATTGGAGGTGCTTTTCCCTCAAGCCTTAGCAACTGATCAACAATAACCCTCCATCTAGTAGCTTCTTGCTGCTAGTAGCTTCTTGTTCCTAGTAGCGATGGCCTCCAACCTACTTGCGATGGCCTCCACCTAATAGCGTCCTTGCTATTGGCATGCCAGACCGTGAAGACTGGTCCGTACATATTCGTACAGGATGTTCTGCCGAAGAAGATCCCGAAGAAAGGGGCCCATCCGGTGAAAGTGAATGAGGAAGAGGCACCAATTTGCAAAGAGCTGCTGAAGAAGCATGGGGATGACTACGAGAGCCTTGAAGAGCTAATTGACTGGACCAGGGAAAGGGCGAGGTTTTTGGTTGGGAATGGTTCCTCCAGTGTTGAATGTGGTCTGGCCAGAAAGGGCCAGTTGGAGTGTGAGGTCTGGCTCGTTCTGAATCCAAAGGCGGCAGTTGGTCAGCGAAATCGAGCAACCTCTCGGCATTCTGGACTGCTGGACCCTACGAACCGAGCAAAAAGCACCCTAGCAACAAAGGGCATCGCTACTAGAAAATGGGACATGACCCTGGTAAGAAACAAGGCCACAAAACAAACAAACAAGGTACGAAAGCACCCATGTTCATCCATTTTCCCAGGTACGAAGGGAGGGTCCAGGCTGACCTCAGGTACCTTGGTGCCTAGTTGATGGGGGTTCATATGGTTTCATACATTCTTTCATCAAGTCTTACACAAATGAGAACAGGCTGGGAAGTAAGTGGGCGATGAAGAAGCACACATCAACAAACGAAGAGGTTGTTCAGGGCGAACTAACTGCAGATGCTGGAAGCAAAAAGTTGTCCAACTTGGTCAAAGGGCAAGGCCTTTCGACCTCTTCTCTTCGGTGATCCGATTTGTACAAACACATTCGGCACGAATCTTCTGACCAATCGACAGGGATGGACAACTCTTCATCCCTTTTCTGTTGGGAAGCGGTTCGCGAAGCCCTTCGACGGAGCACCGAGTCCTTCCTCCGCCGGGAAGTCTCACGGCGGCATCTACCGGCTCCGGAGACGGGGCTGTTGGGTGTGCTGCTCGTTTCGACCGAGGAAGATGCACTGGGATATCAAGGTCAACGTCTTCCAGTGGACAGCACGTCAGTGCGAGAAGACTCTCGGACCAAAGGACGTGTTCCGCGGCCGAAGAAGATCGCCGCATTGTTCAAAGGGAGGAAGTCTTGTGAAGCAGCTCCGTGAAGAGCAGGCTCAAGCAGGTTCAAGACAGTTAAATAGCTAACCTGTTTCCAGACCGAGCAAGATGAGCGAATTGGCACTGACAGTCTATAGTACTGACAAACAAACTAGAACTTTGTAGAATCGCTCCCTACTGATCATTCATCATCCACTGCAATGAGAAAACAGGAACCTGGCCTCCTTTGGCAATGGTCGTTTCGAGGGGGATTTTAGGAGATTTTGGATGTTCCAATTGTTGCCCAGCGTGGAAGACACCCATTACTACTGCTGAGGGAGATTGTTTGGGTGTTCCCTGATCCTCATAAGAATTACAATTGAAGGAGAGTTGAGCAAGATAAGACTTCACCTGCATCGCCTGCATCGCTTTTCGACTCGCTTACCTTGCCGGATGCCGTGCCAGACACCGGAGTCCGTGCCTAGGGACCCCCCCCGGTGCTTCGCGTTCGTCGCGATGTGCTTGGTGGAGTTCCCGATATTTCCCCGTAGACCTTGTCTGTGCCGAGGAAAGTCAAGGCCTTGAAAGCCGGGAAAGTCCGGTCGATGAAGGCGACAGTCGAGACTGGGAGCTGGTGAACTGCTGGAGGGACCCTGTGGTTGGTCGCTCGAAGCACCCAAAAAACATCCCAATATGCAGATGGTGAACAAACATGATAGAACAAAGCAAATCTCCCGGGATGTACTAATCTGATTGAAGCGGGTTTGCATTGATGATTTCTCCATTGCCTTGTCCTCTTACAGCATCTTGCCAGCGTTTCTTCCTCGATTATGGACACAAAGGAATGAACAAAGCACTGGCTTTGTTCACCAACTGTTGCCTTGATGGTTTCTGCACGCTTCGTGATCTTCACCCACGCCCAGATGAACAAGCAAAGACCAAGGTGCTGCTATCCCCAAATTTAAGGGAAAGCGATCAACCCACACATGATCCCAGCGAATGTCCAAGTCCAGGCAGTGGTCTGGAAGGGGATGCCATAGCAGACACACATTGGCAATTCTTGCATAAACCCTGGCCGTCTCAGACTTCCCAGCAGCATCACAAAAGGAAGGGCCGATGTTAAAATTGGAATATCAACAGAATCTCAAGCGCTTTGTCAGAAAGTGGATGCTCAAAGAGCGCTCAAGAGCGAGGAGCCATGGAACCAACCTCAAAATGATTCCACCCAAGGCCATTCTTCTATACCAGTAACAAGAAGCTACAAGTAGCTAGAAGCTACTAGATGGAGACCATCGCTATTATATAGGTTGGAGGCCATTGCTACTTACTAACTCGTAGTAACACCTTCAGCTTCTCTCTCCCTCGCAGCCCGCGCCTCTAGGCGGAGATCTTGTCGGGCCATGGCATGGACTGGCGGCGACCGCTCTACGGCAAGCCCAAGGCGGAGATCGCCCGATGTCCGGCGGTACCGGCGACGGGTTGGTACGGGATGAACGATGATGAACGGTGGAACGTCGGCGGGTTGGATGGTGGGCACGAGCTTGATTCATTTAAGGAGGTTAAGCATTTGGAGGGTAGAGCTGGCCCTTAGTGAGAAGGACTAGGCTAACAGACATCTGACCAAGTAGATAGGGTTTGGCTATCTTGTGGGATAGCAACACTCATGGCAACGGCTCATGTAGCCGTTTCTATCACCATGGAGAGGATGATGAAGATGGAACATGTCACATGTCCTTTCCTTGTGATCTTCTGTGCTGGAGTCTCTTCTATCTACTGATGACCTCTGATGAAATCCGTGACAAACCAATTTATGGGAATGCCGGGCCTCCGCCCGTCAGAAGCCTGCTTCTGCTTGATGAGACAGCAGATTCGCCCCGAGGGTGTTGGCCGAAGCCGAAGCGTCACACCAGCTCTCCGTCACCGGAGAGCTGTCAGGATCGGAACGTCTTTGGCCACTGAGACTGAGACCGGATGGATCTGAACCGCTGGTGCGGTGAACCCCGGCGGTTTTTTTCCGCTGGTGCGGAGCGGGAGCTACACCGGGGAGCTGTGCATAAAACCCCGGTGCCCAGCAACAGCCGGAGGCGCCACTGTTTGTGTCAGGGATGTTAATGTAAGGAGGCGTACAGTATTTGGTTGGAGGCTACATGGGAAGACAAAGGAAGAGGAGAGACTATTCTGAAGCTACTACAGCGGCCCACCGCCTGTCTTCGGCTTTTCCTTCAAAAGGAGTGGCCACCAAAGCAGTGAGCAAAATTTGAAAAGGTGTGAGGTGTGAGTCTGGGTTGCGATGTGGGTGGCTCATGACCAAGACTATTAACTAGGCTCAAAGCCATCGCATGTGAAAATCCTTCAGGAATTGATTGTTACCTTTCTCTGAAGGGCCTGAAGTGGAAGAGTTCAGGACCCCAACGCTGCCCAACGCTCCTACCATTGCAGCGCTTCTCGCTGGCCTCTGGCTCCCACCCTCGCAGCGAGGTCGGAGCTCCTCTCTAAAGCAGTGCAACTCCTGCGGACGCTGCGGCCTGAGGCACCGAGTTCGTGGGCCGGCGCCGGCGTACGGCGACACGAGGCGTGAGGCGAACGGTGGCGTTGGAAGGCGGGACAGTGTCCCCAAACCAGTCCCCAAACGCCTACCCTTCCGAAGACTCTAAACATCCTAAAGCCTACCTGACGACGTCATTTCTTTTCAGATGCTTTCCAGAGCAGTCTTGGTGCTTTCCGGAGTGGATGTCATTCTGGGCGGGCTGGAGGTGAGTCCGTGTGTCCATGTTGGTGGGACAACGCTAGCACCAGCACCGGTTGCTTAGACGTGATTTCTTTGGCCTCGCAGTGGAATAAATTTCCAGTTGGAAGTGGAAGAAATCCTGAGAAACCTGGTCTCTCACCTCTATTTCGTTGTTTTATATGTAGATTTATATATAATACATATATATATATATTTAGAGTCAACATGAGTCAACGGCTTATTTGCGGTATTGCAATAGATCGTAAGTCTTGTTGGCATATGACTCATGCGTTCTTTGCTGATTTTGTCCATCATCAGAGGCTCTTGGACCTTTACAGTAGATCTTCCTGTGAACAAGTTGAGAGTTGAGAGCCTTCCTCGAGAGGAACAAGTACAACATGCTGCAAACTAGCAGACCCCAATACATGCTAAAGAATGCCAATGCTATTTATATACATCGACAGTTGACAGTGGACACACACAACCTACACATCTTCATTGACATGCACATGAACTACCTTTTGGGGCCCCAACAGTACGGTGTTGAATCATCTGGATGACACTTTGGATGGCGTGGCACGTCTCGAGCAGAACAAAATATCAACAGAAAGTGCACTACCACCACCACCGTCCCCATGGGCCCAGCTCTGGCGTGATCCTCGACAATCCTCGGATGCTGCGCGCCCTTCACATGTGCAGGCTGTGTCGAAGAAAGGGAGCAAGCTCTTGGACTTCCTTCAGGTGGGTTCCACCGAAAGAGGCGGTGCGCCAGCCTGCGCCAATTTCGTTGCCCTGCCTTGAGCAGAGGGCTGCGTGCCGTGTATGGGCCAAAATTGAGACAAGCACAGACAAGGGCAACAGCAAGAGCAACTGTCCTATAACAGAGGGCAGATCGTGTGTCCACGATGGTCCAGATCCTTGTGGAGTTACAACATGTTACAACACATGTTCTTATTATATACAACACATGGACTCGGACTGCGCTCAAAAAGCCCGGCCCTACTCAAACAAAATAGATAATATGGAGTTTAAAGGAGACTTAGAAGCGGGCCCCCATGGAATTGCGATGAGTGCACCATTTTGGGAAAAGACATTTTGGAAATCAGCCACATGTTTGATCGAAGACAGATCAGGTGCAAAGGACTGCAAAGGACTCGTAGGCACTCGTTTCACTTCCTTTCACTCGTAGGCCCCACCGGCCGCCCGGGCCGCAAGGAGCTACTTGAACGCACTTGGGAGAAGGCTGAGGAGCCGCAAGAAGACCCCACCTCATCTCCTCCAGAACTTGATCTCTTTTCTCCAGTAGACAGAATGGCCATTTTCCATCCGTTTTTTGGCTCATATCTATCCATTTCAGAAGTCAAGCAAGCCCAAAAAGAGCACATCAACACCAATTCAACGCTCCAACGCTCCTCCCCAAACCGTCACGCAAACCGGACGGACCTGCTCAGAAGGACTTGGAACACCTCTTGTCCGCCGCCCTGCAAAGCGCGCGGCAATGCAGGTGGGACGGACCGCCGTCGCCCGGACGCCGTCGGAGTCAGTCCACGGGGGCTTCGTTTCCGGCAGAACCACTGGCATTGGAACCGATTTCGGTTTTGTGACGGTCCAAAGTACATGGTTCCCCTGAAATCGTCCTGGTATTCGTGGAGTCGTGGAGTGATTAGAGGATTTTTGAGGTGATTTGCCCCAAGGTCTTCGGATTTCAGGGGCATCCGAACTCAGGGCCATGCCATCCACGGTCCTGTGGTTTTTTTCCGAGCGTGGGTCCTGAACCAAACCCTGGTTGGCTTGGGTGTTTGCTAAATCCGGACACCTGCAGGATGGCCTGTCCATCTGAGTCCAAGAGTTGCCCTTTGCGGTGTTCAAGCAAGGCACATCTACTAGTGAAGAAAGGAGTGTAATTTTATGTAATTGTCATATACTATACTATTGTTATTCACTTTGGTCGTCCAAACATATCCAAACAGATGCCGCTCGTGCGAATCGTGCACCGAGCACTGTGGGCTATAAGATAGCCTATATAGTCCTGTATATAGCCTACAGCCCTTCCAAGAAATGCCCAATAGAGATCCAAGGATGTCCAAGGTATTCTATTGGTGCCTCCAACCGGGAACCAGCTGCCCAGCCACTCGCTGCGGACGAGCGCTGAGCGAAGCGTCCCATGTTTTCCAGGGAGCGTTGAGAAGGTTGTTTTTTCCATAACACGTCTACATCAATGTATGTAGGCCAAATTCCGTTTGTCAGGTTGCCGTGCCATGCGGTTTTGCGCGGCCACGGTGGAAAGTGCGTTTGCGTGAGTCCGTGCCATTGGGGGAAGGAAAACATGCTGGTGTAAATTCGGCGCGTCACTGGGGAGCGGGATGATTGGCGGCGTCCACGAGTCTCATCTTACTACGTTCGTAGCTACGTGCGAGCTGCATGCATCGTGTAGCATACACGCAAATGCAGCTATACAACTCTCAAATATACTTAAAATAGTCCACAGTACGGTTGTACGCTTCAGATCGTTTCTGAGGCTTCCAATCTCAAGACAGCAGGAGCACTCTTTTTCGAGGGTGCGGTAATCGGTGAAGCAGTATGCACTTCGTTCCACTCCAGCTCCGGCTGCGCAAACAATGTCTGATAATACTCCAATAGATAATTATGTGTCTGAACCCTGGCCACTAACCAGCCATTCAGAAACCAATCATCTCTTACTACGCGCGCCCTCTTCTACATAACCTTTCCTTCTACGCTCCCGGGCCATTTGTCGTCTAGTTTCTTCACAGCGAGTGGCTGGCGGCACCGCTCGTCGCCACCAGGGAGGCTGTGAAGAAGAGCCAGGGACTCTCAGCACCGCCGTGGAGACGAACTCGTGGGGGTTTGGCATGCGTGGAATTCTCGTCAACTTTGTACTTGTGGCTTGTGGAAAAAGCAATGTTGGATACTTGGAACTTGGAATATGAATGGCTTGCCAATGCAAACATTGGACTTAGATGGGGTTGTTGAAACCACATTAGCGGCGCTGATTTGCACCGATTTAACTATAGTAACTTAATTATAGTAACTTAATTAAATTGATAGAGGGTCCACTATACATGACATCATGTATTACATGATCAAAAAATATCAAAAGATGTCATTCGTTTGGAAACGCCTCGGGCCGCACGGGGAACATCTGAAAGGGTACCAGGAATTGCTCGTAGCCGCAGTATGCCCCCAAACCGCTCTTGCTCTTGGGAGTGGATATAAAGGTAATATTTTGTGAGACAGAAGGGTGCAAGACTCTACGGATGTGAAAATCCTTTTGGTCGATGTGAAATCTTCAAGATGAGAGGATGCATTTTCATAAAACAATATCCATACAATATTATCCTTGTTTTGCTTAGGGTTATTTATTTTTGTTTTACCTAAGGGCCAATCCCCTGAGGAATATTTTTAAAACTGTTTTCCCCATTTCTTCAGCAAATCAAAGATATGTGATATCTTGGCGTTGCCGGGATTGGCTCAGACCGCCGACTTTAGCCGCTCCCCAACTCGTTTGAAAGCCGTGATTGCGCCTGGTTTGCAGCCAGTCGACTTCTGCGTGCAACCTTAGCAACAAGGGCATTGCTACTAGTTACAAGGGCATTACTACTAGAAACTAGAAACTACTAGTAACAAGGGGCATCGCTAATGGTTTTCCACTGGCGAGAGACAACTATTTTTCACGTCAAATTGACACTTTACCTTCATGGGCCCTTGCGCACCTTGCATTCGACCGTTGATTGTCCGAAACAGCCTTTGTAGATCGTAGACATGATCCTGTCATCTTCACGCATGTTCTGAGGATGGCAGAGCTGGGTGAAGCAGAGGAGATTTTGATTTACTATTCCAATGGGGGCGAGTTGGACCCTCCTAGGCGCGGTGGAGATCCACACACGGGGGAATTTTTTGCAGACCTGGGATGACGGATTAGCTGGGTGATGAGTGAACTGAAGGAATGGCTGGGATACTTCTCTAGTTGGGGTGGGGTGAAGCAGCGAGGAGCTTTTCAAGTTTTCAAGAGGACGTATTCTCTATCGCAAGTCCAAGCACTTCGCTGAGCAGTTCTTAAAGATTCTTAAGTATATATACGCAATAGGGGATCTTATTTGCGCCCCTTGATTTGGAAGATCATTTGCGAGGAAATTCTTTGAAGAGTCCATGATTTGGTGGCTGGGTGGAGGAGTTCTTATTTTTTGCCATCCCCAATGTTGGCAGTGCAACCGGTGCAACCAATTGATTCTATGTCATGCGGCTGCCCCCTCCGACCGAAGCGGGAGGCCTTACAAGCCGACGAAGCTGCTCTATCAGCATGCCACTTGGGCCCCCTGCAGACTTCGTCTTCCCACCGGATGAAGCGACCGGATGACCGGGGGCGTTGGGTGATCGGCTTCCCCAGCTGATGATCTGAGAATCTGATAAAGCCGTATGTTGGTGGCATTGCTTTGTGCCTTTGAAACCATCCAAAGCCAATCAAACAAGGATGGACGTGTGGCATCACGTTTTCACAGGTGTGGCACCCGTGACGGTCCCGTGACGGCGTCCACCCTTGAAACGGCCCTTACCGTGAGGTCCAAAACCGGAGACCGTAGAGATCTTCCCGGTAGGTGGACCTCCCCGGTCGTCTATTCTATGAGTTTTCCGTGGTCAACCACGGGCTTCCGGTTTTGACCCACAGCCATAATATTGCTTTGTACATCTTTGTACTCTTGGGTCCTTTCCCCTCTAAATCTGGGTCACTCAATGTGCCGAGGCTGGCGATGGCATTTTCGTGGTCACCTTGAATGATCCCAAACGTCTCAACTGCATGAGCTTGAATCTGGTTCAAGAAGCCACCTGGCGATGAATTTGGCAGGCTTGTAGTGACTGCCTTGTTCTGCGGAGAAGTGGTGTGGGGGACTTTGCTGCAACATTTGGACCTGAACTCGGTGCTTTTTTTGGGCTGGAAACGCAGACAAAGCAGGGAAGCGCTTGCATACACCCGTGGTCTCTACCGCTAAGATTGAAATCGTTTTAGCATTTGGGAGTTCAATCATCCAATATAAATCAATATCATTATTCCCCACATTTCCTCAATGTTTCCGAGGATGTGCCCGATCGACCTTGCACCCTGACTCAACACCCCGCAGCAGAGAGAGAGAGAGAGAGAGTGTGTGTAAGAGTAGACTGAAGTGAGTACTGAGTATCCGAAAGAGAAGCCAGACAAATGGCTCGGCATGATGAGCGAACGTTCAACGAGCCCAAAATCCAACTGTCGGACCGCCCCGTTGAAGCCCCTTCCTTGTCGACAGATTGTGATAGATCCAGAAAACGGTGACCCCTTGGTTTTTGTACCACTCTACAACCATTATAGTGGTCCCCAAATGGATCCAAATAGAGAGAAAAGTAGATCCTCAGGGTAAGATGTATAGGACATCGTTTCTATTGGTAGATTAGATGAGAATAGACTGCGGCCTAGCACCTGCTCAGCGCCTCGACCCTGAGGTGACCCTGCTGATCGTGCCTTGGGCGAACAGTTCAGTCCCCCACCCCCCCTGCCTCAGACGCTCCGCCCCCCCCCCCGGACCCGGACCCGCTGCGTTGGCCGAAATCGGATCCTCGAGAGCCCCAGCCGTGGGGGACTGGCTCTCGTCGATGTCCAACGCCTCAGCGATGAGGGAGACGGGAAGCCGGACCGGTGACGGATGCGGTGGACCGTGTGACGTAACCTGAGAATGAGATACTGAATATGTCATACGAGCGCCAAGTTGATGGTGACGTAACAGGGTAATTACGTGATGTAACATGTTATTACGTAACCTGCACCATATCAGTTCCGTATAGTTACGTAATATGATATTATTATACTATAAATTAAATACGAGTGGTCCCACTTCATGTGCCAACAACAGTTGCCAAATGAAGGTTTGTGCTTGGTCTGAACACAGGATCTTTCCGGTGCGAAACATCTGCAGCTCCTGCGCCGAGGAGCACATGAAGCGCGACGATCGCTGCAAGATCATCGTGCCACTGGGCCGGTGATTTCACTGGGAGTGTGATGTAAGTGATATGGGATGTTTTAATTAGAATGATATCCACACACTCTGACATTGGTTTTCAGTTAGCTCAATTCCCACGTCGAGAAGGAAGGTGAAGAACCGCAAGGCGAGCAGGTCAGGTCAGTTGAAATGTTGAACAATTGTTGCACTCAGTGGTCAAACTCTCGCACGACTGGCTGCAATTCACAAGCGGCTGAAAGCTGTGGTGGGAGACGGGTTTCGGGGGAAGGATCACATGAAAAACCATGAATCAAATCAAAAGATTGGACAGCGTGGTCAACAGGTTCATTGCAGGTACAAGAGCCGGCGTCCCAGCTCTCTTCCAACTGATTTCCGTAGCTTCGTTGGCACGGATGGGAAATCAGTCTCCGCGCCCCCTGCTTGTAAACATCGGAACCCTTAGGGACAGGGGTTGACACACACACACACGGTGCCGCTTTGCGGCGCTCGTGCCCTGAACCTGAATAGATACCTAAAAAGCCTTAGAAACAAAAGAAAGAAACACAGAAAGAGCAGCGCTAAGAGGGCAAGAGAGAAAGATAGGAGTAGAAAAAGGTGAATACTTAGCCCTTGACTGGGGCAGGGAAACGGGCCTCAAGAACAACCTAAAAAGCCTGAGAGAAAGCCCAAGAAACGACCGAAAGCGTAAGAAAGAAAGGGGGGGGCAGGGGGGGGTGTATGTAGCATGTGTGTGTCCGTGTGTGTGTATGACTACTTAGCACTCTAGAGTTACTGACTGCTTAGCAGAAGTGCAATAGTTAGAAGACAAGAACAGGGACAACAAAGGGAAAGGCACCGACACACAAGTGTGTCGAGTACCATTTCCCTGTGTTGCCCTAATTAGGTAGGGAGTAGAACTCGGCGGGGGGGGGGTTGGGAAAACATGCCTGGCCTCAAGTGGAAATGAATTCCGTTTTTTAGCCTGGCGGCTGTGGTATCATGTCGTTTTTTAGCCCGACGGCTCTTAATGCAGTTAATCCAGTGGTGAAAAGGAATCGGTTAAGAGAATCCAACGAATGGTGGAAACGAAAAA